GCTTGTTAGCTTCAGTCCCGACTCGCACGGATTTACCACCACCTTGGCATCCTTCTGGTTGAACCGCTCTACCACGTCATCGATGTAGCGAGTCTGCTTGATCATGAGCGTCTTTGACGAGTAGTCGTGGTTGATCTCCATGCCAAGAATGAACTTGGCCTCACCTAGTTCCTTCATCTTGAACGCATTCTTCAGTGCCGTCTTGACGTCTTGGGTCTCCTCGCGAGTCCTCGCCGCGATAATCATGTCGTCTACGTAGAGGCATACGTACACCAACGAGCCCTCGTTGGCTTTCACATAGACACACTCGTCGGCTCCACAACTGCGAAAACCGATCTTCATGAAGACTCGGTGGATGGTCTTGTGCCAAGCACTCGCTGCCTGCTTCAAACCATAGATGGCCTTGTCCAATCTGCACACCATGTTCTCAGCGTTGGTGATTCCAAAGGGTACCTCCATGTACACGCACTTCTCGAGGTCACTGCAGGAACGCTGTGTCCGCATCCAACTGCTCGGTCACGTACGCCTTCGCTACCACCACTGCTAGCACAACTCGGATTGAGTTCATATTGGCTACGGGCGAGTATGTCTCGAAGAAGTCCACTCCGAACTATTGCTTGAACACTTTCACCACTGGGCGAGACTTGTAGCGCACTATTCGTCCATGTTCATCACGCTTCTTGGCGAAGACCCACCGACATCCGATCGGACGAGCGCTTGTTGACCGTCGGACTAGTGTCCATGACCCGTTATCTGCATGTGCCTTCAGTTCCGCGTTCGTGGCTTTGACCCACTGCGAGGCCTCGCTGCTCTGCATAGCCTTTGATATGTCGTGGGCGCGTCATTGGCATCACCAACGCTCGCTGGATATTCCAGCACAGCCTCAGCCAATAGGCAGTCCTCATCGACCCTCGGCCGCTTTGGAAACGGTGGCCAGAAGTGGTCGTCGTGGTTGGGGTCATCGTCGCCGTTCACCTTGGACTTGTCGTCGTTCGTCGAGCCGTCGACGAGTAGTAGAACAGGCTCTCGTGCACGCTGGGCACGTCTTGGCTCCGGGCGGAAGACCATGCTCTCGCTCATGGGTCTACCGAGCCCTCGGTAGGTGGTCAACTCGTCTCCTGGCATATCCGCCTCTGGCATATCCGCTTCCTCGACATCTCGCTCTGGTATTTCCATTGGTACATCCTCGGTTGAGTGCTCGTTGGCATCTGGTATAGCTGCAACGTCGTCGTCCTTCGACACTAGTATCGTCACCGAGTCCTCGTTGGGCGTTGTGTCGTATATTCCGTCCACCTCGCGTTCTTCTAGCCTCACCGATCTGGACATCTTCACTTTGTTCGACTCCAAGTCAAACACTCGGTAGCCCTTCGAGTCATCGGCGTACCCAAGGAAAAGACATTTGAAGCTTTTCGGTTCCAATTTGGTGCGCTTCGTCTTGTCGACATGGGCATATCCCATCGACCCGAACACTCGTAAGTGATCCAGACGAGGTCGCGACTGGTACACCAGTTCGTACAAAGT